GACTTGATGAGGCTTTGGTAGGAATCAATCTCTTTGGGAATAAAAAATTGATTTCGTAGAGTCTTGGATTATTGCCTCGTGTGTCAACTTGTTCAGTATTGTGAAATTTGACTGAACTTAGCTCAGGGTGAACATTACAGACACAGAATCGTAGAGGAAACCGCGAAACAATCGTCTCCAACTTATGTAATATTTCCTTGACATTTTTAAATCAGACACCGAAATAATTAGATAAGATAGGTTATTGAGTGAAATTTCATTATGGTTGTTGTATCGCTATTATGAATATAACCTACTGCTTTTTCGTTCACGCGTATATACTAAATTATATCAACGGACACTGCGTACAGGCGTTCAGTCTTTGCCCATCTACGTGCTATTTTTTTTAAAACATTTAATGTGTATTCAGCTATAGAGCTATGACACATGGACGGTGCTACGTATACATTTGGATGACTCTTTTGACGTTAGAGGCACTCAGACTATGGATTTCATTCGCAAATACCACAATGAGGTATGTTCGCTTACACAAACAGTCGATCCTCCTCCGTAAGTACCCACCAAAAGGAATTTCAAAACCTTTGGTTATCCAAGCATGCCTTCGTCATCCATGCATACCAGCGCCGCGAGAAAAGTGGTTGTGTTTTGCCGGATTTGAACCAGCGATCTACTGTCTCGAGTGGGATATGTGTCCAAGCTATCCAGACCTTACTTAATAGACCGGCTAAGACGATGTACCACCGCACCATCCAACCATGCGGTATTTAGATTATCACCTGAAGTCTCGCGAGCGAAGTCGAATAGCGCCCAATGATGACTAAGATGGAGAGCTCGTTTTCGAATGTAAGCATCTAAGGCCTTTAGAGGTCATATCTATCCCTAGCACCATCTTTATTTCTGTCCTGATCTCCCTCACATCTACTCTTAAAGGTTCGCTCATTGTTTTGTGCACCACAAATCTTTTCACCCGGCGAATATTCATGAATTAGTGGGCATATACTTGGTGGCCATTCGAAGCCAGGTATTGAGTTGAAGAGAGGTGTGATCCTAGAAATGAGGGTTTGATAGGTCGTAAGTGTAGACTTTTTGGTACTATGATCGGAGACGGACGTTTTAGGAGTGGAAATTCAATTTGGTATGGATGATATAGTCATCACCTCACAGGCCAGCCTACTCGGTCTTGCGGGGGATGTTACGCAACACTTGCCAGCAGTGTTACCTAGAAACCTCCAGATCTCACTGTATGTGTGTATATATTTGTTGTCCTATAAAGTCTGTAACCATGTAAGGAAATGTAGGTCCTTTCTGCCTATAGGCCGGGAGCATCTATGCCTCGCGTAGTGTTCTCCCTCCTATGTAGCTGTCACAGTAGAGTCTGCAGAGCCGAGAATGATTATCACCCTTTCATCATTGAGCTGAGTTATCTCTCCCTCAGTCAAAGATACGCTTCCGTTAACACCTACGAAGATAATGATGCTGAGAATAAGGAAAGATAGTGCGGTACCAAACGCTACAATGGCAGGTGGGGAAGCCTTCGTTATATCACACTACGTGCTACCCACCGGCGGGCAAACAAAAAGGCCCACGAGAGCAAAGAACAAGACCTTTCTGCCTTCAAGAAAAGTATATTCCCACTCGTCAACAATATCCTCTCTTATAATCTTTAATTTCGAATCTACTAGCTAGAAGGGCATCTGAAATACATGAGTTACTCGACGACTTCACGTCCGTAACGACCTTTGGATGCTAGGCTGGGCTCCTTCACGACAGTCACTCTCGACCAAGACTTTTCTGACATCTTTTCACGACCTTCGGTTTGTCCTGCGGCATGAATCTGGGGAGTAGTAAGAAGGAGGCTAGGAACGTTGAGAGACACTCTCAGGTATACACAGGTAAGTTGCGTCTGGCTGGTCCCTTCGTCATAGGAGAGCTCCACACCCAGTGGTTTTTGAGACTTTTCTCTGTAGCTACACACCCGCAATTAGCCATGGTTTAGTTGGCTGGAGAGGGGAGATAATGACGGGATAACAGCTCCTCTTAGTGTGCTTGAATGAAGACCTGTGGGGGTATTACTGCTGGAAAGAAGTCGTAAAGGAGGCATAGGAGGGAGTACGCAACCTGAGTCACAGATACTCCCGGCCTATAGGCAGAAAGAACCTACATGTCCTTACATAGTCATAGATTCATTAGTACAATAAACATACTCGTCGATTTTGCAAAGTTTGACCGAACATGGCTCCGGAAGAATATTATACTTTCAGGCTCAAGACATCGCAGACAAGTGTTCAGTCTTTCCCATCATTTAATTTAATCGTGTCCCTGCAAATAGAGAGTACAAGTTAACTGTTTATATTTCAAAGCTACTACAGTCTCCTCACATCTCCATATGGACCTTTATAGCTCACTAGCTTGATTAGCCATCATTCCAGATCTACTTTCGTCAACTTGCAACCTATTTTTTACAGAACTTCGGAGCTATCAAACAGGGGCCATTAAGTGGTGTTACTCTTCTAGAACCATAGATCTATAACGCCTCAGCCTGAGACTTTGTAGCAAGAACGTTGCCTACAGATATCAGCCACTAAGTTACACATCAGGCCGACCTAAATCCCCGTTGTGGCCTGGGCCAGCTACATCAGTGATATGTAGACAAATCAGATAGTTTCAGTCCGAGCCGGCGCAATGATCGCATTGGCTTATGTATCCGTTGGAGTCAAGGCTAGTGAGGAGTACGCTGACCTTTGACTACGTCCTTCATAGCAAGTTTTACAACAGAGGTAATTAGGGGCCCATCCTTACAGTTACCTAAAACTTGGTCGGATAATCCCAATCTTTTCCAGCATAGATCGGGCACCAGGAGAGAAATTAGGGAGTTTCTCTATAGTCTCGATTTCATGGTGTATGTAGATGATACGTAAAGCACGCCGATGGTGACATTGAAAATACAGTAAATTCCACTCATAATTTATCTGCAATGACGGTTCGCAAGTATGATAATTTGTGTGGCGAGGTTATCTTGCTCATACTCGGATATCCTGGAATAAAAACATGCACACAGACATCGAGCTAATTTAGAATTAATCTGGCTGTTTTAATTCACGCCTTGTTGGCCACAATAATAACCCATCGACGGCAGGGCAGTCCGGGGAGTTGTGAACACCAGAACAGAAAAGGAACTATTTGCATCTAACTTTCAACCGCCGTGATAATCTCAATGTTCCCCATTAAAATGCACGAGATATCTCAGTCGGAAGGCAGCCGAGGTCTAGGGAGCGCAAGGAGTAACACGGTAGAGCAAGCGTTTTGCTAAAAAGATAAGCGACAGTGACAAACGGCGATTGTAAAGATTACGAAAGACCCGATAAAAGATCAAACGAATTCTTGAAGCTTTGGATTTTCGCAACCGTGCCGCTGATCTCATGAAAAGTCATTCTGTTACTCTTTGTGCACAATTTCCGGCCTCTTCCACCATCAGAGATTCTGTCCGCCGCAAAGGGCTATAAGATCGTTGAGGTATTCAATAATTTCGACGTTGCGTAGAAGCAAATCATGATTCCCAAACTGGACCGGCATAGGCTTGTATAGGTAGAGCTGCTGTTCAACAAAACTGAGACGATAAGAATTCTAGTGTAGCCTCAGGCGTCAGCATTTGTTAGTTAATAGATCTCGAATACGATAGCGCAAGCTACGACGGGGGACGACTTACGCCTTGGCGACTGGCCCAGAGCTGCTGGAGCGCCGCGAGCTTGGCGCCGAGACGACCTGGAGGCCAGTTCCATGCGACCTGAGCTTCTTGCAAGACGTACAAGAAGCGCACAGTTGCCGCCACCATTTGGTAGAATTCCACATATGCTTCGGCCCCACCTACCGTATCCGCTGACGACGGTGGTGCCATTTCGAGCGCACCCCGGAGAGTGTGAACAATCGTAGTCACAGCAATAACAGCTTCCTGACCAAAATCTTAGCTAAAATCTCATGAAGTTTAACGCTGTACTCACTTCTTCTGCGCGGGCAGATACATCTCTTGGTCGTGTTGCAGTCAGGGCTAGAATTTCAGCAGTGTTGGTTGGGCGCTCAAAGAAGATCGGGTCGTTGACTCCATCGGCCAAGAGTTTATCGTGAAACTTGATCAATTTCACAGTAAAGTCGTGCACTGCTCTATGCGATATGAAACAGTCGACAAAGGAAAGCCAGTTCACGACAATGAACAGTAGAAAGAAATATTTGTTGGAGTACTTCATGAGGAAGGATAATCAGTAAGAAAGAAGCGTTGGAGGATCCTTAGAATAATGTTGTCAGTGAAGGGGGTCTAAAAGACTTTCATAGCATGAAGACCGCGATTTCTGCCTGATAGCCATACCGGCCAAGGCCAATATTATGTTCAGACGTTCTAGTCAGTCATCTACCTGAAGTCCCACTTGCCTGGATATACTTCTTCATTGCTATCAGCAGGTGAGCGTCTCTGACTCAAGGGAATCATTCAGTTTCACCAAAAGCTTCAGTGGTCCTTAGTATACACTCCAACTCGTCTTGGACATTCCTCTCTCTTATCCTATTCACCCCCATCCTGCCAATCCCAACCCGAACTGAATATCAACTCATAAAGCATCAATCTTATCTACAATTAGTTATCTAAAGTGGCCAATTATTACTCTGCTGGCTCAAGTGCTTTTGTAATATCTACTACCATTAAACTCCTTAGTGAGAGCCTTGTTAAATGAAAGGTATGCTCGTTGAAATTAATTTATCTGAGCTTCAGCCGCTGTGCAGCTATCTGGTGCTCCACAGTTCGAGTTTATGAAAAAGGGCACACATAGAATCTTAAATCATTCAGTTGACGGTAGTCACAAAATGCTCCCCTGAAATCGATTCAGATGGCAGCTTGACTGTATGTGGCTCGCCGAGGGAGCCCAACTCCAATAGGCTTGGGACTGCCACCCTAATTAAAACCATAACATCAAAGTGTAGCTTTTGTGCGTAAGATCTTCGGTAATGGCTGTCTAAATAAGACCGCAAAGCCGGAGATTTTCTTGAATAATAATGTCTGGTAAATTTTTCATTAGCATATGAGTTGAATTATCTTTATTAATATCTTACCATTAACAGCTGCCATGACAAATCTGATTTGAGTAGTATCTGTGGCGCACGTAAAATGTGTATATATTTGTTTAGTTTCGTGATGGTTCAAGCTAACAAAACGATTTAATATATAATCACACGCTAGAGCATAGTCATCGCCGCCTTCAAAATCTGGAAAGTAATTTTTCATGGGACTGATAGGAAGTTTCTCCTTAAAGCGATCTATTTTGTTCAGAAACAAAATGATGGAGGTCTTGATAAACCACCGGGAGTTACAGATCGAATCGAACAGCGTTAGAGCTTCTTGCATACGATTGACTGTCTCGTCTTCAAATAGAAGTTGATCATATTCAGAGATAGCGACCAGGAATAATATGGTTGTGACGTTCTCGAAACAATGGATCCATTTCTTCCGCTCCGATCTTTGGCCTCCCACATCAAACATACGGTATGTGAGATCCCCAATAATGAATGTGGTCTCAGTTATACCAGTCGTCTTTACACGAGATCGCAACACATCTTGGTCATTTGGCATGTAATCTGGTTGAGCAATTCGATCGATGTTATCAAAGTAACTGTAAATCCCAAGAATTAGTTCAACTTGTTTAATTGATATATTAATTTTTTTGGGGTAGATAAGATTCAGAAGAGGGCGTTTCATTAAGAGTAGCGATGTTTTTATGAGGTAATCTTGTAGACATTTGATGTTGAGACGACTTACTATCTTGCAGAGTCATTTAATTGATATTCTCTTGACCTTTTAAAGCAATCTTGAACCCCGGCATCTGTCCATAACGCTGAGATGGCAGTTCCGACTTCTGGAGGGAGATTGTCGCCTTCAATTTGCGCGGGCTGCATAAAAATCGTCTGAACGTGGTATTCGGCTTTTTGATCGTCAAGAGGTAGCTCAAGTGATTCCATGGCCTCAAGAATAACACGCATCGATTGTACGGTATTGCTGAATATTATTTCCTTGAAAGACTCTCTCTCATCGCGTGAATAGCCGCCCTCATGTATGAGCTTCATTTGTTTCAGGATGGTTGATTTTCCAGACTCACCAGCTCCTATTTACGAGATTAGGACGCCTAGGTAATGATTCAAGGAGATTTGGTTTAACTGACCAAGCAGGAGCATCTTGATCTCATTGCGCTGCAGAATCTTATCTCGTTTGAGCTGATTTTCAATTTCTTCGTTTCGGGCTTTCTTCTCCTTCTCTTCTGTACTTAATCCGCAACCCATGGTGAAAGTTGGGAAATGTTGAAGAAAATTCAAAATTCGAGGTTTTGGCTGTAGAGTCCTAGGGTCAAAAGCTATTCAGTTTGGGAGTTAGTGTTATATATGGTCTCAATTCGGCGTACTTGATAAACAATTATCTTCGTTACATGATGACTGAGCAGTTTTAAGTCTATGTATTAGGGAGGCTTACGCGTAGAAGTTGGAGATTGAGAGCGGATTGGAGAAAAAGTATTCTTAGAAGTCTCAAATATTGCTAACACTGTCGAGACTGTGCGGAAAGATAAAGTATGGAGAGTGCAGGGGATTTTTTCTCGCAACGTACGTACCGCTTTGATGTAGTTGAATGTTGTGAGAAGGAGGAATGGCCAAGCTGACTTTTGCTATTTGCTGATGTGAGGCAGAATCTCAAATTTGAGACGGGGTGGGCTGGAGCGATCCCGGTAGAATTTGGCGCGACAACACTGGCCAGGAGTGATGGTACGAAAGGCCTATTTCAGTTTTGATTTCGTCCGATTGAAGGCCACCGACGAGGAGACGGAGTAATCACTGGATTAGTTGAATAAACGGAGGATAAAGCAACAGAAACACAAACAGATGGTGCGTGCATGCGTGCGTGCGTGACCAAGTACGAGTGCGTGCGTTCGTGGAAGGGAATTTGGGGCCCGTCTACAGCGCTCGAGTGAGTATGAGATCCTGGCACACCAATCTCCCTCCCACAAATGCAGTATGTTTCAACCGAATTATTAAGGCATTTTCCTAACAGGTCCTGGCAAGGAGAACATTGCATCGTATTGTATCGCGATATCTGATGAGCAGTTTATCCTGGGACTAAGGTGCTCATCAAACTCCTCCCATTGTCCTTAAACACACCATCTCATCAGTAGCTTCAACTGTAATCCAAGTGAACACTATCGGAAGCAGATTTCCAATACTGCCCTTGCTTGAGCAACTACGCTACTATCATTATCATCAGTTGTAGTGCTCCATGATATTGCTTGGTACGAGTGGTCATCTTTTGTTGATAAAGAAGATAAGGAAATATTGAGAGGTAGTTTACAATTGATCAGCCGGAGGAACTCTATATTCTTGCGAGTCGCAGGTATAGCAGATGAACGGATTTTACTGCGTGGTATATTTTTACCTTGATTAAAACTGGCTTAGACAGAAACACGTGTATCAGCACAAATATAGAGGCAATCAAAATCATTTGATGTGTAAATTTTCTTCTGACTTCATGATTCTACATTAACAACCCGTTCAAAGCATCGGTCATTGTCCAATATCTATATCGCTTTACCATGGCGCAAGGAATGTCGATTGGCGGAAGAGAACTCCTCTGAGTTTGATGACTTAGGCAACTATTGTATACATACTAACGTGTGAGTAGCAGGCATGTGATGAGATGAAACTGATCGCCGATCTCCATGATTGACATGCTGATCTCCCATCAAAACCTCTCAACAACAACATCACTACATCCTGATTATCCGCCCTACAACCCCTTCTCGTTCTCAATTGGCGCGAGAGACGCATTTTAAATCTTAGACTAATTTTCGCCCATATTCGAGTACAGATCGGTATTGTCACAGGCTAGCCGTGAACCCCGACTCAAGAAAAGCTACAATGTGGTCAAAGCTTGTGTTAATCACGAAAAGTCTCTTGGAATATACCACACTACAAGCCAATATGTCTACAGTTTGCATAACTATAACAATGCAGTAGTACGATTTTGAGCTCAGCTAAGGGTTCTCGCAATAGATGATCATGTTCATTGGTCTTTTCTGGATGACGAGTTCTACGTGAATTCGGCCTGTTTCCCCGGACACGGGATGTACAGAAACTTGTTCATGCCGAATGTTACGCCACAACTGTACAGTGAATGTGGGAGAAAACGCTACACTCATGCGACACAAGACACCGAGTATCCTCCCATAAAAAGAGCCAAAAAGACATTCTCTAAAGTTACTTCGAAACCAATTGTGCCGTTAAAATACATAGATGCGAGCTAGATGAAGGAATTCATATATTTCATCACAACTACATTCGCGCTTATTATTATTGAGGCTGGCGGCCTACAAATCAATTTTTGTCGTTATCTTGTAGGTTATCGATGGAGTGTATACTTCGCTAGAAAAATACCCTGGTATGAAGTAGATAATAATTTTGCTCTCAGTAGTTGGAGGTGGCTCACAACGTAGCTGATAACAATTTATGGAACCATGTCACATGACGATGACACGACGTCAGGTCTGACTCTTAACCGTTCGTCGATCCTCAACAGGGGTTTATTCTTCTGTCTTTGTTGTGTTAAGGACTTGGCTTGAACCTGATGCTATATCTCATCCTATGATATACACTGTGCAATATACCATCATCGCACGTAGAAACGTAGATCCGCGATCTTGGATCCACTGAAAGCTTTAGCCATGTGTACATTTACACTGCGCAACAGCAGAAACCCTTAATTGTGTTCAATATATGTTATAAATAGCAAGCATATGCTAGTTTTCCAGGAAATTCCCCACCTCCCCACGACTACTAGCCGTTTTTCTGCAAACGACCATCTTGCAGAGGATGTGCACGCTGCGGTCAAGCCCTATATGTTGCTATTCCACTTGTCGATTATGTCGCTAATCAATACGCTCTGAATCCTATTCCGACAGGATTCGTCGCACATTCCACAAATCCTTGACCCTGCAGTGCGGTTTTTTTAGCCAGAGGGTTCTCCACACATCTCGGAGCGATTAGACCCACCGTGATTAGAAGCTTTCTGCCATCTATTCAGTTAACTTCTAATTATTCATTTTAGTAATTTCGAGATTCGGTCCGTCCAGCAGATCTGCGTGACATCCGACGTTGCCAAGACAACATTGTAAGGCGGAACTATCGTGCGAGAGTCTGGATCAGACGTCGAACACATTTGAGCAATACGTATCATCGCTTTTTTAAAAACCATTACTAAGTTATTCAGCCGAAGTCGATTTGATTAACTAACTAGCCTTGTACATGTCATTTTCCTCCTATTATGCTCCTCTACATAGTAATTTAAATAGCACAATGAAACACAATTCAGCTAACACTACTATACTATACTGAGAGAAAAATACTGCATATTTTCTTCCCATTCTTTCTCACAAGCTCTACCGAATGATCACTTCGCTTTTAAATGTTGCGGAAAGTTATTGCTTGCCGTGAGCTGGTTTAGCATCAGAGATTTCTAAGCTCGCCATTCAATTGTAAAGAGGGTAAAATATTTCTCAAACAAAAATGGACTCGACTTCGTGGCGCAGTATTATTCTGGACCTTATGTCTCCGAGACCCTAGGGGCTTCCGCCGAGATTTCAGCAGAGGGGTGGTTAGGATTCAAGTATTTATCGGCCTCAGGATCTGTAGAACAAGTCACTAATTTCCAACAGAATGTTGATGACGTTTTGAGTCAGGCTAGATCTCGTTCGACTTCACCCGTATATCTGACAAAGGGGCCCATCCGGAAATCAAAGACATAAATCTGTTGCACCTCTCGACTAATCACTAGTTTGAATCACTAGATGATATAACAAGGGTTGCTTGTCGGACGGCAGTCATGTGAACAGTAGGTAGGAGTCCATGAGATGTAGAAGTTGTTCTTGCACCCAAACAGCTAGAAGTAGAAGATCAGTAGGTTATCCGAAGCATCGTCTCACTCACACGCAGCCCCTTTTTTGGCTGGATCGGGAATGAGATGTCTGACCAGACTTTTTCGAGCAGCTCGTGCTCTAGAAGTGAACTCGACGACAAGCACGTTCACGTGTAATTGAAAGAGGTCCCAGATCGTCTTTATACGAAATTACCGCTCTTGAATAACACGGAGGTATCGGAGGTTTTTTGATACCAAATTTTATTTTAGTCGTGGCCAACTTGAAAAGAGCTTGATCCGCTTGAATTAATTATGTTAAGCCGTGTTGTAGCTGATACTGTATTTTCTAGTCTAGTGCCTCAAGTTATTCCCGTCATCAAATTTGTCTGGTAAATAGTCGTATTTGGATCGTCACACAATGAATATACAGTTCTGCTTGACGTGTAAAGTCAGGACATGGCGTCGTCGTGGCCCTGTAGACTTTGAGTGAAGCTCCATACTTGCGCTAGCAGGGGTTATTGCGAACGCTTGCTAAGTCATTCGGCAAGGGAAAAACATCTACGCGAGAGGGTAAGGAGTCGCGACTCAAATGATATGCTAGTCGACTGTGGCCAATATATGCCTGCTTACGATGATCATTTGACATAAAGTTTGGACATGAGTTTTTCGTGGCTAAATCACCTTCTACGCAGGTTTGGTTTGTTCTACATGTGTCGATTGCCGACTAGCACATTGCGCTCTTGTCCAACTCGGGCCGCACTTTGTGCAGTGTATCTATCCCCTTTCGATACGAAAATAACATCACAAATATATCACCTATGATAGGTAGCCATTTGGTACAGTAATCATCGATCATATGCGTCGTGTCTCGCGATTGATGATGAGCTTTAGGATGGAACTATTGCTGGACATTACGCTGTTGTCATATATACTACTCAGTCAGCCTGCTAGCCAGCCCATTCGCCTCATCACGCATCTACAGCTACCCTCGAATTGCCGTTTGACAGAAGCGGTAGTATTATAGATCACTTGCATGTTCCCAACCCTCCAATCTAAAGAAAATATGTCGGGTATATTACATGTACAAATATGTATGACCGACTTTTGTGTTAAGTGCAGCGTCATGGATGTGAAGCATGATGTTTGTTGGAGGTCTTTAATAGGGGTCGCTAAGCTTATTGAAAAATAATACTTCATTATCACAATGTATATTATTACAAGGAAAACTCCAGGGTGAAGAGAGCCTAAGCATTCAGTCAATTCAATGTTATAAGCGAGGGACTCAAATTCGGAAAGTACGTAAAATCTATCAGAGATTCGAACTTGCATTACCCTGAAAATTTTTGATATCCCAGTTGGAGACTAGTTGACTAGCTAGAAATTAGACTCTCAGAACGTTTGAATTTGAATATGAAATCTTTTACGTGACAGGAAGAACCTAACACCTATTTAGACGTGACACGGGTAGATGGGCTACTCTCAGAACGTTGCTAAGGTATGCTTAATATTAAGAAAAACTAGACAAATTGTTTGTAATAGCCTCCGAAACGTCGATAGGGACTCGTATTTTTTTTTTTAAAATTCATTATGTTGTCCTGTCTGAGTCTATGACTATGTAGGACATGCAGGTCCTCTCTGCCTACAGGCCAAGGATACCTATGCCAGTAGTATATCCCCTCCTATGCCTCCCATACAGCTCCCTTCAAACAGTATCACCCCTCACAAGTCCTCATTCGATCATACACTAAGAGGAGCCCTTTGCCCTTCATTATCTCCCCTCTCCAGCCAACGAAACGATGACCATTTGCGGGTGTATGGCAGCCGGGAAAAATCGCAAAAACCACTGGGTGCGGGGCTCTTCTATTACCGACATTAGGACTAGATCCAAAGACATAGTGCCCCTTCTGAAGCATTCGAAGAGGCCGGCCAGCTGGGCGCTGCAGACTTGTGGGTACCTCGGGAAATTCACCCTTTGCCTTTCTAGCCTCCTTCCAACTCCTTCCCGAAGGTCGTGCTGAAATGTCAGAAAAGTCTTGACAGAGCGTGATTGCTGTATAGTAGCTTAGCCCAACTTCTTTTGTGCCGTCCAGGGCGCTGGGGAGTGCCGTTGACTCATCGACAAAAGAAGCCCTACTAAGGACTCGTATAGTATATATTGTGAATATGATACAGCTGGTGGCTACCAGTAATTAATACCTTCAGTTTAAGAAGATAAAAGTGTAGGAGAGTCCAAAGATCACTTGCTGCAGAGACATCTCATCCGGCTGTTATCCCTCATCTCTGACAAAACCCACAGTCAAAATATAGTAGTTTTTCGTCTGAAATAGCCAACGCATGCACCAAAAGAACTTCAATATCGTCTGATGTCCGAGTGTTACTATGGGTCATTTCTCTCAAGCTTCCTTCAAGGTATACAAAATTCATCACAGTCCAATATAGAGCAATCTCACAACATTAGTCTTCAATATTCTTAACCACTTCGCGGTTCCTTCTACGAGCCTAGGGGTATAATATTCTCCTAGAGCCAAATTCAGTCAGATTACGCAGAAATTAAGGGATTAGCCCAGAGGGTAACTAATAAATACTCTATATCAATTTGAATCTCTATTGGAAGTGAAAATACAGAATGGTTTGGACTTGTTAGCCCTCTATTTCGTCTAGGTTCTTGACAAGGTCTTGTATTTAGTATAGGGGTTTGAATGAGTGATATGTTGGTGCTTTAGATTACCAGATGGATTCATAAGCGGCTGTATTGTATTTGATGTGACTCAAGCTGTGTCCCTTACACTTGTACCTAAAGCGCGCATTTCATATTCTTTTTAGTCTAAATCTCCTTCCGTGCCTAGAATTATACACCCACTTCGCTGGGCGATATTTTCAATGATTTAAATTCCAAGAAGGTTGAATGGTGCAGTGGTACACCATTCGGATCGTTCTCTCAAGTGGATTCTGGGTAGCTCAAATACCTACCTTATGAGACAGCAGAGAGGAGAGGAGAGTGTGTGTTTATTGTACTACTTGAGTCTATGACTATCTAGCACATTGGGCTCCTCTCTGACCCAGGTCACACCTTGTACAGTGCTTCTATCCTCTTTTGTTACTTGAAAGATCATTGATATATTCCCCTTGATGAATAGCCATTCAGCTCAGTAATTACCCGTGGAATTCGGCCACCTTTTCCACGGAACCTTCTACCCAAAAAAAATAAAAATGGTAGTAATGGAAACTGCGTGCGCGGGAAAAAGTCCCTAAAAACCTTCAGCCCCAGGCAGGCGAGGCCTAGACACCGGGATCACACGAAGTGCGCGTATTCATCTATATCTTCCTTCTTTCTAACAGTCAAGGCCAACTTGATCCAGTCCACCATCGCCGTATCGGGTGATGGGTACGCTCCGGAAACTCATCAGATGGCTTTTCCTCCTTGATCAAGATTTGGTGGTGAAAAGGGCTTCGACCCTACCATCTGATCTAATCATAGTTAACTTCATGATAATGGCGTTAAGGAGATGGGTAGCGAGGTGAGGACGATACAGACCGCGAAAGCGATTGGAAATCCTAATGGAAGTGAGGACTTTGTTACTCAACTCGTCTCTGCAGACTCGACAGTGAGAGCTGTGGGTTTCTGGGGGACACCACCAATAGGTATTGAGAAAAGTCCCCCTAAATTTGACTGGACTTGGCTCTGGGAGAATATTTCACTCCCACGCTCATATTGGACACCAAGTTCAATTGTTCAGTCTTCGCCCTCCTTGTTTTGGTTTTGCACCCGTGATTTGTTTGCAGCTCGGGATTTCGACTTAAGACTCGGCAACGTCACTCCACCCAATCGCTGGCTTGTTGACCACACTCAAATACCCAACATACTTTAACTGAATCTAGGCTTTGAAGAATCTCTTAACCTAGACCCCTAGAGGACGCCCAGCATAGGTACTCGCTATTCATACCCCGGATGTACCCAACTAGTTTTCTCCTTTCTACAAAAGCATAGCAAAAGACATCTACATAGAACTATACAATTTCTGGAAGGGAGATGCTAAGCTAAACAAAACAAACTGGTGTTAAGCGGAGGTAAAGCATTCACGTGACCTGAAGCACCTACATCGATTATGGTGAGTGAGACATAATTGTCACATCAATGTAGATGCATTCCAACAAATCTTGGTGATTCACCCAATTTTACGGTTAACATTTCGACTTACAAAATGTCGGGTGATTCTTCTCGAACATACCCGGCGTCTGTTACTCACGTTACTCGTCGGATGGTGAAGGGGCTTTGGCTTGGCCTTGTCGTCTTTCGTATGATCAACGCGCTTGCTGTCACAACTTTTTTCCAGCCTGACGAATACTTTCAATCGCTGGAGCCGGCATGGCAGCTAGCCTTTGGTACAGAGAGCGGTGCTTGGATTACGTGGGTAGGTTTCGTCTGCCGTCAACAAACCAGCGACTGATCGTAGCAGGAATGGGAGTATCGCCTCCGCTCTTCATTACATCCAGCTATCTTTGGAGCTTTCTACTTTGTGGCTGGATTCTGCCTCCGACCTCTCGAACATTATCCGCATCTTCGTGCTCTCATCTTGACTAACTTGCCCAACTTGGTGCAGGCATATTTTGCCGCCCTAGGAGACTTTTACACCTGGCAGCTTGCAGAAAAGATATATGGCCGGCGAAACCACGCAGCATGGGCAACAGTAAGAGCAACTGCTCCTCGTGAAAGGCAGTCTATTGTACTGATATAGACGACTGACTGGCTAGCTTTGGATATCGCTTCTCAGCCCGTGGCAGTGGTTCTTTTCCACAAGAACATTTTCAAACAATCTCGAGATGACGTTAACTACAGTCGCATTGTACTTTTGGCCTTGGGCCTTATCTTCGGAGTCTCATCTTCATCCAACCTGTAGTGATGCTGAGGTGAACGGCTCAGTTGATGTTCTGAGCGTAAGTCAAACCACAGACATCAAATTCACCCGACGGTAAAATCTTCTGACCCCCTCAAGATCACCATTCTAAGGTCACTCTTTCTAGCCTTAGTATATCCTTAACTCTCGCAGGGACTGCCTCCATAATACGCCCAACTAATCTGTCTATATGGCTTTCTCTTCTCGTGCCCCATCTAGGTGGTCTCATCATGCGCCCTACGCATCGAATTCTTTCTCGTCGCGCCTACTTCACATTAACACGTCAAGCTATTTACTCTACGGCACTAGTGCTCTTCACTGCTGTCATCTCAGACCGCCTCTTTTATCAGACTTGGACCTTCCCGCCCTACCAATGGTTGCACTTTAACATTATACAGGACGTCGCCGTATTTTATGGCGCAAACAACTGGCACTATTACTTTACCGAAGGTCTACCACAATTACTGACTACATATCTACCCTTTGCGCTTGCAGGACTGTGGCATGCTTGGAACTTGCCCTCGGGAGATATAAGATTTGTGCTAGCCACGTCCATTCTTGCTACCCTTGGAGTGTTGAGTCTTACATCACATAAAGAGGTAAGATTTATATACCCAATACTTCCTCTACTACACATTCTCGCTGCACCTCATATAGCTGGATTCTTTATCGATATCAAGGCCCTGACAAGGTCTCGGGGTAACACTTTGGGATTCTTTCGCCACAAAAACATTTTGATTAGCCTTCTTAGCATCAATCTTCTGATCGCATATTATACCACGAGGATTCATCAGTCTGGTGTTATCGCGATCTTCCCTTATCTTCGCCGCATCTACGAGGAGAATCACGCGACGGACACTTCTCTCGTGTCATCCTTCCCCTCCCCTACTGCTCCTCCTTATCTGGCTTTTCTTATGCCATGCCACAGTACGCCCTTTCGTAGCGCTCTTATCTATCCAGGGCTCACGGCCTGGGCCTTGACCTGCTCACCACCTCTCGACACTGCACCAGGCTCAATACAGCGTGCTAACTACCGAGACGAGGCTGATCGTTTCTTTGCGGATCCAGTAGGCTTCCTTGCGCACGAGGTTGGTGCTAGTAACAACACACGTGCTTGGCCTACACTTGTCATTGGTTTCGCCAGCATTGAGACGCCTCTGCGCCTGGCTTGGGAGGCGGCAGCTGGCCATGACTCGCGTCTCACGGAAGTCACTCGAGTCTTTAACTCGCATTGGCACGATGATCCTCGCCGTATGGGTCCTGTAGTTGTGTGGAAACTATGGCGTGGTAGCAAGGCTGTTGACTTTTCTCCTTCGTAATTGTAGACAGGTCGCTTGCTGTCCACTTCATAGGATTTCGCGGATAGTTTCAGCCGCACACTGGTTACCTAGTTATTAAGACGATTAATAAAATAGGGAAGATTTTCATTGTTTGGAAGAACAGGGCGCGAAATCAATTCAACCGTTCAAACCAACAAGTAAAATAGTTGGGCCTCATGGCATATGCGGGCTCATTAGCTATCGAGCTCACATTTTACTCAAGCTCCAGATAATGTCATGGTAGCTGCTTTCCCACTGATATATTTGTAATGGATATGAATTCTATTCAATTTATAAGATAGTATCCTCGTCCAGTAATGAATTTCCTCTTCAATTGCCGTACCATAAGCCCCGAGCGTCCTTGGTGGTTCATGGTAAAGGCTCACAATTCAACATTTTGATCCAGATTAACAAGGAGACTAATGCATGTTCATTTCATGACACAAATAGTCCCAAAATTAATCACTCTGGTTCCTTGCTGGGAGATGTTAGGATGGGGTGAATATTCTCGGACTGCCTGCCTAGGAGTAGAGTTTTAGCTATCGCAGGCTCCTGTCCTTAAAACTACAGAACAGACATAAATTAATATGAGGTTTCCTGGAGATTGATAAGTAAAACACGGTATCATGTTGCAATTGTCGGCCAGATAGACTTGCTGTTGACACTTGCATTTAACGTCAAGTAGGCTGGTGCGTAAGTCCCATCCTCGGTTTCCAGGGAGAGAAGTTAGGCATGTCCGCATAATCTATTCCCCCCCCCTATCTTCTCATAGAGATCTACTGGGAGGACGAGGTCTGAATACATGTCAGCGATGACCTATGCAAACCTGGGGGTGAAATATTCCGCCAGACCCGAGATTCAGTCACGACAAAGGGCGGATTTAAGAGTTTTCGTCGAGTTTGGGATTGGGAGAAGTGGTGTTGGCTTATTTTTGGTCGAAAATCCGACTTGTAGAGATTTCACGACTGCACAGTTCAACGAAATCAACCGTCTATACCCCAGATACAAACTGCAGAGAGGCTATAATCTGTCTGATGTTCGTATTACAACAAACGACACCTTCAAGATCTCACTTTTTTTCTCTGGAAAATCATTCCCAGCTAAACTCACCTCGCGGCCCTCTCAGCAATTATCCCACCACCTACCAAAGCAATCATGTGCCTCCAAACTTCAAATCTCCAACAAACAAGCAAGAGGATGTCCGATCCTCCGCAATTACCAGTCGCTGTAAAGGTACGGTCGAAACACCGGCCTTAAATGCGTCCTCACCTCGGCCAAGGGCACCAACAACTCGACCTGCGTCGAATCGCCGCCGACGAAATACGTACGACATTTCGCCGGCAAACCAACTAGAGCGTTCGACAAAGGCTGGGGCACCGATGCCTCGGTCTTGAGCTCTCATTCACGTTTTCGACCTCCACGGTTAGGGGTACGGCATTGACGAGGCAAGGTCGGAGGGGTGGACATTCTACAAAGTTTCTGGTATGACGAGATCGGCTGAAGGATAGAGGGATACTGTATGAAGGAACAAATTAGAACACAAACTGAGGAGGTCTTGGTGGGCGACTGGATGAGATGAGGAGATGCTGAGATGAGCCAAAGCTGGGACTGAATGGATGGGAAAAGTCACAGATCGCGAAGGTGTCAAGGGTTTGGGTGCGTGGTGACCGAGGCTGAGGAGGAATTTGTGCATCGGCGCGTCAAATTCGGGTTCTTTGGAAGGTTGGGCTTGACATGATTCAACACATGGGTGAAGTCTGAGGTGGTCCGGTCATTCAGGTGGGACGAGGTAGATGTACTTAATGGTAGTTAACCTGATCCAGCCCGGCCCCACCCGTGCTTAAGCTCCAGTAGGAGTGCAACGGTAGTCACTATACCTAGCACGTAAATGAACAAAACAAAACTACACAGAGATCTCTGCTAGTACGGATGAGATATATGCACTGCTAAGGAAAATTGTGTGACCCAACTTGCTCAGCTTCCATGAGAAGGTGAAAATGGTACTTCCAAATAATTTCCAAGTCTTCCATTATGAATAATTTGAGCTTATCCAAGGAATTTTGACTTCAATACATATGACTTTCAGGTTTCTTTAGCCGTGTGGGATGCCCGATTATGGGAAGGTATGATACATCGCTGGGGAAAACCCCGGTGCAAGCCAAAGATGAAGTAAGATATGAAATTGATATTCCGTTCAGAAGTCAGGGCACAGAGATCGATGTAGATTTGGAAGAGAGAGCTGGGAGGCTAGCTCTCATGCACGAATCTAGTATCAGAGCAAATTAATGCCATTCTCTTCCCGATCGCCGCCAGATTCGATCACTACGGCCCTTGAGTCGTGCTCAGTTTGCGTGGCAACTCGAACTTGGGCGAGGCTCGTCGTCAGCGCAGCCTTTCGATCCATATACTCATCAAGTTAGTCAATCTTTGATAATTCTCCACAACGCGGGAGTTCAGGCGGAGGGTAAACGCCAAGAACCTGACCGCACACTACTCTACAGAACTGGAAGTGAAATAGTTTCTGAGAGCCAAGTTCATTTCAGTTTTGCAATTCCGAAGGAGCTGGTTCACGAGTCAATGATTCAAGACTCTCGACCACATCAAATTTTCACTGCAAACGAGATTAATTCCCACCTGGGCCTCATAAAGTCTGCAAGTACGACCTAGTACATCCTCATTCCAATAATCACACATCTCGTCGACTCAGCCTCTAGCTTTGGGTAGTCTCTACACATACGTTCAAGCAGATATTGATATCCGAAGCAGGAGACAAGTTGCGCTGCACAAATCTGGGGAGCAGATCTTCGAAATCTAAGTTAGAGATTTCAGGAAAGAAAGGAAAGTTGATACTACGGATAGATACAATGTTGGAAGGAACGGGCTTGCGGTTTTTGAGAATAAGTTTTCCACATTGAGCAGTTTATACTACATGATTTCTTTTGCGAGGGTGCAGGCGACGCTTTAACTACAGGTATAGCTGCAGACTGCAATGATACACTACCCGGAATAGTTTTCAACTTGAGGCTGAACAGCTTGGATACCTACCCCACTTGAAACAGGAGATGGCGGGTTCGAATCCAGCAAAGCTCGACCATGTTTATCGCAGTGCTAGTGTGCATGGATGACGAAGGCGTGCTTGGATAATCAAAGGTTTTGATATTCCCTTTGGTAGGTACTTACGGAGTCTCGACTATTTACCTAAGCAAGCATATCTCAGGGTAGTATTTGCGAATAAAATATAGAGAATGAGTGTCGCTAGTCAAGAGAGATATCCAGTATGTAGTCATTGCACTGAACATAATTCCTGGTTTTTTGTCTGAATATACATTAAATTATTAAAGAAATAGAGAATGCTCAATCGAAACGAAGAAGAAGAATGCTCCGCCCAGTTAAAGCCACGTATACGCCTTCCCTAGGAGTCTGAAATCTGAAAACATATGAATTTTCTCCATTCGTTACCTGTCATCAGCGTTAAGGTATTGTTATCCAATTACCTATGTCTGTAAGCTTTTGCGATACCTTCGGCCAGCAGCCTCCCATTATCAGCTCTGATAATACCCAATACAAAGCTGATGAAATGTGTGACAACTGACAATGAATCATATCATTACTAGCCTAACTGACTAGAAGAGGTATTTTACTAGAGCGGGAGTTTTGGCGTATTCGACTGTATATTGTACAGTTGTGACATACCGTCACAAAGCGAAGCATTTTGGCCACGTTGAAAAGCTCGTCGTGATAGTGAAATTTTCTCTTCAACCACTAAAGGATGCGGGGGTTGGATGGTGCAGTGGTACACCATTCGGGCCGTTTTCCCAAGTAGATACTGGGTAGCTTGAACACCTACCCCATTCGAGACAGGAGAAAGCTGTCTCGAACCCAGTAAGACCTACACATCACTCTCACTCGCGGTAATATTGTACCTGTTAGATGATGAAAGCATACTCGGATAGCCACAGGTTATTCACGCTTTTCTCTCTGGTGGGTATGCACGGAAGAGGTTATACGCCGTAAGGGTTAACCTCGAGTGGTATCTACAAATGAAATCTGAGCGTGAGTGTTCTGTATGTCAAGTTGAGTCATCCTACTCAAAGTATATATCTTCCGATAAAATCTACATGAGCCCCATGGTGCCAAATCAGGATAACGAACAATATATATATATATATATATATATTAAAGACTGCTGCCTCTTTTACCTAGAACCGGAGTTTATCCGGCTTCCAACAGGTGTCATTCCTAATTTAGTTAGGATCATGTAACTGCTTATGTAAAGTCCAAGATGCGACGCGTAGTCTTTATACTCTGGTAAATCCCATAAAAATAAAATTACCAGTAGATAGAAAATAAATATCATTTTCAACATATGTTTGCGAGAAGCTAACGTACCGTCCCTTGAAAGCAACTGATACACGAAATAATGGTGAATTCATCTGGGCATGATGCAAAAGTTGGGGCTTGGAGATATCAGCTACATGCAAAGGGAGTTTACCCGTCCAAAAACGACAATTCAGTTCTCGGACACAGCAAATAATCTCGAAATGAATACCCACAAGTAAACTACAACTTCGAATTCCATACCAATGCATGGGCTTGTGCGTCTACAAAAATGCGAGTTAGGGAACATTCCTGCCCCGCACGGGAATATCCTCTGGTAACTCTTCCGGCTCTAGAAACCCAAAGATTCCAGAAAGATGTAGACCGCGGTACACATTTCGATCTATTCAATTACTGTCAGCAGTATCGAGCGCCTCCGGCACCACTCTAGGATTATCAACACAAAGGCTTTGTCGACACAATGAGAGTCTTTCTGCGTTCAGCGGCTACTCAGTTTGTGATTGTTAGCCCTGGGCTAGTGCTACCAGTTGCTCCTCGCCAAGCATATCTTTAGTCGAATACTTTTGTACGAACTTTCACGTATATTTTCATGGCCTCAGCCCGGTTTTACTAGAACACCCTGGATACAGTAGATCAAGATGAACTGTGCCAAAACGCAATCA